ATTATGCAATTATTACATCGAGTGTAAATATTACATAATTTTTATGCAAATATTACAACTTTACATATTAAAATTTATGGATGTAATATTGCGGCGGGGAAAATTTCCTGATGTCATTATTATTGACAAGAGATGGAGAGTAGAGCTTGGATCTGGATAGTAAAATCCTTAGGATATACGCGGATATCTGGATAGAGATTTGATGAATGGATAGGATATCCAGATAGGGTTTTGATGAACAGATAGGATATCCATATAGTGAGAAATGGATATCCAGATGTTCGTATGATGAGAAACAGATATCCAGATATCTGTAAGGTGAGAAGTGGATTTCTATTACTATATTAATATCCACACTAGTATTAGTATATATAAAAATAATAATATTTGGTTGATCTAATACTAATTAAATTATTTACTTATTTAATTCTTTGATTTATTTTTGTTCTTAAACAAGAAAGATATATTTTTACTTGGTCAAAATTAAATTATTTTTGTCCCATTAACTAATTAACAAATAAATAGACAATAATGATGACAAAATACTAATTAAAAATACGAATATTAATATTAATATTAACAAAAAAAAAAGAAAAAAGAAAACAAAAAAGGCTATGTCACATGCCATCATATGATTGGATGGTGTTTTGATAAACCTGTTTTTCTATCACAATAATATTTATATTAATAATACAAATGAATAAGATATCTGGATTGCTATAATTTAAACAGATAGGATATCTGGATTGCTATAATTTAAACGGATAGGATATCCAGATTGCTATAATTTAAAATGGATAAGTATCCAGATATCCATTTAATATCCAGATCCAAGCTCTAATGGAGAGAAAGAAAAATGCGGGAAAGCTATCTGTGATGGAAGATAAACTCTCACTTGTAAATATTTTTTTTTTTTTTGTTATATAAACTTGATATACTAAATTGAAAAGTTAGAGGAAGAATCAAATCAAAAGAACAAAAAAATAGAAAAACTAAGTGAGCAATTAACTGATAATGAACCACAAAATGAAAATTTAAAGAGTTTACTCTACTTAAACAATAAACCTTTACCTGCTTTACCCATAGAAGAAGAAACAAGTTGTCTTCAACTAAACAGCATGTTTAAGCAATTAAAAACAAAAGCAAAAGTTAAGATTCAGCAATTACAAAGGCTAATCAAAAAGGAAAAGCTTCACAACCAAGAAATTATTGCTCAAGTAGAAGTTAAGTCTAAATAACAAGTAAATTACAATGAGGGAACTGGAATACACAGTTTTAGAATTGGAAAAAGAAAGTAAAAAAACTTGTGATTTTTTGCTCTAAATTTGAAAACAAAAATAATAAATCTGTTCACCAAATAAGATCTCATAGCAAAGTAACTGGAGAATGAATTTCAGATGATTTGGTTTGCAAAAGATGTGAAAAAAAATATTGGAATGATGAATTGTCAAAGTGCAATAGATGTAGTAGATTGCAAACTAAGTTAGATTTTGATATTGTTAATGGTGAGAATGTTTGCTACTGTATTAGAAACAATGAAGATTTAGAAGAGAAGGAACTTCATATCTTACCTCATAAAGAAATAAGTCAGTTACTTTTTATGAGTGACAAATAAACACCCTACAAGAACAATTGAA